GCTAGATCCCTTTCCAAGTAATAGGCCTAGGTTTGAATCTCACCTTCCCCATCCCCCAATAATTATTAAAAATAATAATAATAATAAATAATAAATAAATAAAAAGGATTATGGGTAGCAAAAATTAGATTTTATCTGTAGTTGCAGGTGAAGGTAAAAAGATTTTACTAAATTCATATCATCATATGTATGGAGATGCAGTAATAAAGCTCAAGCTACAAAGATTTGTTGCTTCAGACATGTACCGGGAAGCCATATGTGAAAAAGTTGATTGTGAAAAACCGAAAAACTGTACTTCTCAACAAAACATTGGTATGTCTTACACCAGATCTGCACTCAACAATTCAATACGTACAATTTAGTGAAATCTCAAGCAAGAAGTCATGAAGTGTAACAATAAAGAAGCTTCAAACTGAGAAAAGTAATCACCAAAGAAGCTCATCTATATAACTGCACCACTTGCATTTCAGAGTTCAGACATGTGGAATTCATTCTCTAGCACTAAGGATAGAAGTGGAAAGGGGGAGTCTAATGAGATATTTTGGATTGCAATAAATCTATGGTTCCGTTAAGGCATCTACCATATAGTCATATACCCACCTCTAGTTATGGTGACAGTTATTTAGCATGATATTTAGGCAGAATAGCAAAGGAAAGAAGTAAAAAAAAACATCTCATCCTACCACTTGCCAATGCAACCTCCCATCCCCGGCCACTTTCTCGTCACAATCACAAACCCCAGCAAGGAATTGAAAAAGATTCAGTAACAAGCAATTAGAACCAAGGACTTTCGGTATATGAATAGATAAATGTAATAATAGTTTAGATCAAAGTAAGACACTCGAGAAAATTGACAATTAGACAGACCACAGATAATAAAAATATAGGATCTGCCACAATTACTTGTATTCACGGACGAAAAAGGAATGCCTCAAGGGAAGAAGCTGTTCAGTCAAGGACCCTTCTATGTTGGTCACAATGAGATACATTTCCTCCAAATCACACTTAATAAACGAAAGCTGCAGAGAATTACTCAAAAGCTTAGGATCTACACAAATAAGCTGAAAGAGCTTTATTCTGAAGGAAGGATCAGAAATGTTGTTAACAATGATGCTGAAGAAATACATGAAATAGAAATATTTACCTTTACTGTTCTTTCATCCCAAAATTCTCAAAACTATGTGCTAAGGTTACATTTAAGATGAATATAGAAAGATGGTTTCTATTAGATTTCATAAAGATTCATATAATATAAATTCAAACTTTTTACTAACTTAAGAGAGACCCTAAAACAAAACTACTCAGTTAAACTTGTAGTTTGAAGAAAGTTTTTTAAAAAATGATTCCTTGTTTACTTGTCTGATCTTTAATTCTATCCTTGACTCTTTTCATCTCAACCCATGGATCATTTCTTCACTACTAACTTGGGTAACTCATAAAGCAAAAGATGAGATGCAAAATACTGATGGCAACATGCGCAAGAAGAAAAGTAGCAGCTCTAAGCATCCAGTTCAGTTAGAAATGACGAGTAACCATAGAAGACAAGAAGTATGGTACTCTAGCATATCAAGGCTAAGCAGTATTAACATCAATGTCTTTAACACGCTTAAACATAACTGCCCTATGATGCCAAGAGTACAATTTTTTATGGAGAAAAGCATACCTTGTAGTAAAATATCAAAAGGGCGAGCCCAGAACAAATCTGTTGCCAGCTTGATTTTGCAGATATTTCAAAGAGACCAAGGAAATCAGCTACGGTATGGAACATTTGCGGGAACGGAACAGGGAGCTGATACACATAAAGTAAACAAATGCTAATGCCAGCATATAGCCAAAGAGCCCTCCACCACCTTCAAAGTAATGATAAACATACAGCAACTTGAGTTAATAATAGCTAGATGACAGAACATTTGAATAAGGGAGCTTATGAAAGGAAAAAAAAAAAATGAATTACCTAAAAAGGCCTAAAAAGTTGCTTGTTAAAGACCAATCAACCAGGGAAACACAGCTGCATATAAAGAATGGCAAAGAAAGCCAAGACGGATTGCTGATTCCCACAATTAACTGAATGCCAGGGAGAAATAAGCAAGAGGCCACCCTAAGACGAGAACCTACATGCTCAAAAGCTGATGAGAGATGCCCCCAGCATGAATACCTTGATTGAAACAATCCATATCTGTCACTGCGAATTTCTAAGAAAGTCACACCCGCCACTAATAGATGCAAAGTCAAGAAATAAATTCCTAAGGGTGATCTCCAAGACTGGACTCTGCAAAGACATAAATTAAAGGACTTAATTGTGTCCGTCCAAGAAGAAGTGCATAGGTATAAGTGGAATCAGTCGTAGGATATTAAACATAAGTAATGTACGAAATTAGCAAAAGAGTGGCAGAAAGGAGAAAACTAACTTTATTAGTCCAATTAGCTTTGCCCACCAGGCATCTGCTACCCACCACTCGATACCAACAATGGCCAGTACAGTAAGAAAAATTACTTCTGTAATAACTACAAGAAGAGAAAATACGAAAACGAACCACAAAAGAATCCTCCCTCGGAAACGAAATCCTATAGACATTCAAAAATAATGAGTTGAAATAGTCAGGGAAAGAAAGATATGTCCAAATTAGCATATATTACCACCAGAAAGAAATCCAAATACATGGAAGCAGCTTACCTCGTTTTGGAGCAGTGAATCGAATAAGAAGTGAAGCCACCAAATCAACAAGAGAGATCAAATTCCAATCCAGTAAAGCAGCTGCACACAGATGATGCATCAATGGCTCTTAGAATTAAATACACAAACACATATATAGCATCAAGAATTAAAAGCTTATAGCAAATAAAGAATCAAAGCATTTGGGGAAAAAGATCATTCTGTGGCACATAGATAAAAGGGATAACATTCTGACACCATAGTTAGATTCAACTGAGTATGGCTAAGCGTTACTCCTTATGTAGTCTGTGTTTAATAACACCACAGTTTGGAAAAATGATCACACTTTCCACATGTGTCAGATAGTTGAACACACCAAATTCTGCAATAGATATTACTTTCCAAATTGAACAAATGGGTCTGTCTTGACTAATTACTTTAACTCTAAAGTAGCTGCTGCCTGCTGGAAGGTTGTTTCCTAATATTCCACTAGCAATTTTTAGCTAAAGAAATTTGTCTTTGAAGAAGCAGAAGAAATAGACTCATATTCTAAATAAGGCAATAGCCTAGCCTTTGTCCTTCTATACTGCTCCAAAATAACTAAGGAAATTTCTCCATATCATAACATGCCATCAGAATTAACACAAGTGGGTATGACATCAGAGAGCCTAAATCAAAATAACAGCTTAAAGAAGTCCTACTAGTTCCCACACTCTTCATGCTTCCACCCAAGTGATACTAGCAAGAGAATTTCAGGAATTTATATCAAATTTCCAAAAAATTGCACTGGAATAGATTCTCTAACTTCCAACCTCACCAACGTTGTGGGTCTAAATTTGCAATAATCTATTGAAACACCTTCAGCTTAAGTAATCGTTTTCAGATATAAAAATACAATCTTTGAATAAGAAGATTGAATTTCAGTGTTACCTGTTAATAGCAGCGATGGCAACACAAACCCAACAACAAACGTTGCCATAGTTATCCTTTTCTTTACATACTGAGCCCCAAAATGCTTCAAAGCTCAAATCTTTGATTCAATACCTTAGCTCCTCGGGCACGGAGTATGAGTTTCCGTTCAATATTTCTGATTTCCTATCAAAGATTGACGAAAGTGCATATCTTACAACGGATTCCCAATGAATCTTATATGCTTGATTCAATGGGGGCCGTCCTTTTCGAATTACACCCCTGTTCATTAAACCAACAAAATTCTTTCGATGTAGAAATGATGACTGACAGGTAGCAGGAACAAAATAATAAATTAATAAAATAAATTAATCGAAAGAGTTGTTTTGGTTAAGTTAAGCAGTTGACCAATAGGATGCTTTTCTTCTTCTTCTTCTTCCAGCTTGGGCCATTAGGGAGGGATTGCTTAATGCTTTACTAATCAATCAACAAAAGGGATCTCATAAAAATTGAAACTTTATGGAATTATGGGGACCTAGTCGAAAATGGAAAATGCTTACTTTATTTGTTTTTTTTTTTTTTAAATTCATTTTAAGAATGTTATACGTTCGTTAAAAATGAATTTATAGTACATTTAAGAATAAGTAATCATTATTCTATAGATTATACATAACAAGTACCAAAATACATTATTATTTGTGTATATAAAGTTTAGTATTTGAGTATTGAAAATACATTATTTTAATATTATCAAATAATATGTATTTAATATACGAATAATACATTTTTAGTATATATTAAAATATACATTGTATTAAAGGAAAGTACATTATTTTGTATAATGTACATTCATTACACAAATAATGTACTTTTAATATATTAAAAATTTACTTTTTTATTATTCACATAACAATGTGTGGACCATGGTACATATAAAATTTTGTCAAAAATAAAGATGCAGTATAGTAAAATGAATGGCAAATTATTTTGCGGACTCGGGTCCACCTTGTAATGTCGACCCAGGTTCAAAATACACAATTTACATACTGAATGTTCACAATTTTATAAAATGTAAATTTTGAATATTTAATATGTAAATTGTATACGTAAATTGTGAACATTCAATATGTAAATTGTAAATATTCAGTATGTAAATTGTGTATTTTAAACCCGAATATAGCTTATAAGGTGAACTCGGATTTATGGTATAACTATTGATGAACATTTATTAATAATTTACATTTCAATGTGGACCATGGTCCGCGGACCGCGGTATAATTTGCGTTATTGACGTCATACGGCCCACTTTTATTAGTGAGTATGATTTATTAACAAAGATTTGGGCTTGGAGCCTTAATACTAACTAGAAGCCCAATACTAACTATGGGCTGATTGCATAAAACAAAAGCCCATTATGAATAGACCAGTTATCATTTTGGAGACCCGAAGGCCTTCTTTCTACTCATCCATGTCCTACTTTGTTCGAGAATCCTCGCTTGACGGGCGTCGGAGAGGGAGGCCGGAGAATTTTGTGAAAATGAGCCGGCGTTTAGTCGGAGTTTTGTCTTTGGCGGTTGTTTTCTTCTCCTCGACCGCCGGAGCTTCGGACTGTTCAATCAAAGGTAAGTCTTCACTTCACTCGCGAGTCACGACGCCCGTTCTGATTTAATTTTGTTTAGAGTGATGAAATAGGGCTTGAATTTTGTTCTCCGATGCAGGATTACCGCTAATTAGGAATATCAGTGAGCTTCCACAAGATAACTATGGAAGGCCTGGTTTATCTCATATCACGCTTGCAGGTTCAGTCATGCATGGCATGAAAGAGGTGAAATCCATAAATTTCCAATATAAGCTCAAATTTAGAAAACAATTGTTTTGCATGAGCTTCTAAAAAGTGAAAATCTTTCTCTGCTTTATTGCTGTATTATAAAACAGGAGTAATATTCAATAATGAACTGATCTTTTGTATATTTTCTTACCACTTATAACAGAGATGATTTGTGTTTTCATTTAGCAATTTACTGCTACAATGGTGATTGTATGTCTGAAAATAGAATTTGGACAGGTAGAGGTATGGCTCCAAACATTTGCCCCAGGTTCTAAAACACCAATTCATAGACACTCTTGTGAGGAAGTCTTTGTTGTGCTGAAGGGGAGTGGTACCCTCTACCTTGCATCTAACTCACATCCAAAATACCCTGGGAACCCGCAGGAATTGCCTATCTTCACAAATAGCACTTTTCATATACCTACTAATGATGCTCATCAGGTAGATATGTTGTTTATTCTTTCACTTTTTGTCAGTTAAATGAGATATGGTTAGTAAGTAATTGCGGTCATGGCCATTTCAAGACGTAAGGAAAGTGCTTGGGATATGGCAAAGTTATATTAATGTCATGTATCTTGATTCTCATTTTTAGTGTTTCGAGAGATGCTCATGCTGTGTTGTGAAGATTATTACTCTGTATTTGTCAAATCAGGAGTGCAACAATAAGAAAACAGTAGCTGTCTAGCTGACTATCTTTTGTTGATCAGTTGTACTTCTTGGAAGTACCAAGTTCCTTGATGATCCACTGATCCTCATCAGATACATTGTTTTGGTGGTAGAATTCTTACGGTATCACCAAGTAGATCCAAAAAGTAATAATGATGGAAAAAGTGAAAATGACTTCCACATTAATACCAACAAATAGATTGATTAAAGGAAAACACATGATTGTTGGAAGGCATGGGAGTCTTATGTTTTTGAAATCATAAAATTATTTGTTAAGAGCTCCATTCGTAAATTCCCTACTTGATGTTTTAGCTACTACCATCTTTCGAGTCAATCACAGTTTAGATTCTAGCTCTTCATCATTTCTGGTGTTTAAGGCACGTGCTTCTACTATTCCATTCCAGGTATGGAACACTGGTGAATCAGAGGATTTACAAGTCTTGGTTATTATATCTCGCCCACCAGTGAAAGTGTAAGCATTTTGTCTGCCACCACAAGATCTTAATAAGCTTCTTCTTCTGCATCCCCAATACTATATTCTAGCACATGTAGTATGCTTGACTTGGCAATACAAAACAGTATGTGAATGGTGCTTGGATTTCTCTCGTTTGTAATCTCTGATCACGCCATACTGAGATGTCATACTCCTGTTTGCTGCCAGCCTTTGATGGATGCGGAATCAAATTTTGCTTTGTGACATTTGCTTTCAGGTTCATATATGACGACTGGCTCATGCCACACACGGCTGCTAGACTGAAGTACCCTTATTATTGGGATGAGGAGTGCCATCAGACTACAGTAAACGATGAACTTTAACTTCTTCAACTAAAGATGCTGCCAGAAAGAAGCCAATGAAACAAGTGTAAGATTTGCATGAATTTTTGTATTTTGTTACCACTGAACATCCAAGTGTTTTCCTTGGAGGTGATAGAAATAGTTAATCACAATATGTACATCAGATAATTTGGGCATTTCATGCTATACTCTTGATGGTAAAAAGTTGGGTTTTTTTTTCAAGGTCATGTTTCTATGCTTGATCGGAAAATATTACTGAACCAAAAAAAGAGAAAATCACATTTTTGGCCCTTGGGGTTGTTCCATTGTTTGTCCATTTGAGCAAAATCAATTCTTTAATCGTCTACAATATTGCACATTTAGTCCATAACATGATAGAATGGAGGGACTAGTGCAACATTATGGACAATGGAGGCACTAAATTTGCTCAAATTTCGATTTACGGGAAAGTGTACAACCACTATCTGTATGTGTGTTAAACTCTTTAGTGGACAAAGGACTACAATGATGTAAATCAGCTTAGATTGTCTTAATTGATTCAAATCAAAAAGACTAATAAACTGTCTCTATAGGAAGTTAATGTTCAACTAATTTACCCAAGGTTGCCATTAAATTTGTTCAAATTGATAGATAGGGACTAAAATTTTAAAAAGAACCATTTAGGCTTAGGGGGGCAAAAGAGCAAATGAAAAAAAAAAAAAAAAAAAAAAAAAAAAAAAAAAAAACATTCATAATTGGATGGTAGATACAAGTGTGCATATAGATTGGAATGAAAAGGAAATGTTTTATAATGATGCAAAGGTGACATCCTCCGAGCTTTCTTCTCTCCCTCACAATGATACCAACCTCTCCCCCTTCCCATTTTATTGCCACTTCTTCTTCGTAAGCCTTCTCTTAACCAGCCTCCAATGGCTGACTATCCCCCATTGTAAATGCAAATTAAAGGGCAGGATGGCCTCCGGGAGCTTCTCTTCTTCTGTTCCACTCCTTATCGGCCTCCTGTCTCTCTTCCTTGCCTCCTCCCCCTCCTCCGCCACCGCCACCAATATCCGCCTCACCATCGGCAAGCCCGCCGCCGCCGTCCCCATCTTCAACGAAGCTCCTGCATTCCGCAATGGCGACACCTGCGCCTCCGCCGATTTCATCCACGTCGTCATGACCCTCGACGCCAATTACATCCGCGGCACCATGGCCGCCGTCCTCTCCATCCTCCAGCACTCCACCTGCCCGGAAAACGTCGTCTTCCATTTCCTCTGGCTCCGCCACGAGCCGGAGGTGTTCTCCAGCATCCAGACGACGTTCCCGTATCTCAACTTCAAGGTGTACCGGTTCGACGCCGGGCGGGTGCGCGGCCTGATCTCCAAGTCCATCCGGCAGGCGCTGGACCAGCCGTTGAACTACGCCAGAGCCTACCTGGTCGACATTCTCCCCGGCGACGTGAAACGCGTGATTTATCTCGACTCCGATCTGGTGGTGGTGGACGACATCTTGAAGCTGTGGAAGGTGGATTTAGGCGGCAAAGTCCTAGCGGTGCCGGAGTATTGCCACGCCAACTTCACCGCCTACTTCACCCCGGCGTTCTGGTCCGACCCGGAGCTCTCCAAGACGTTCGACGGGCGGCGGCCCTGCTACTTCAACACCGGCGTGATGATCATGGACGTGGAGAAATGGCGGCAAGGAGGGTACACCCAGAAAGTGGAAGACTGGATGCAAGTGCAGAAGCAGAAGAGGATCTACCATCTGGGCTCTCTGCCGCCGTTCTTGCTAGTCCTGGCCGGAAACATAATGCCGGTTGATCACCGGTGGAACCAGCACGGCCTCGGCGGCGACAACCTGGAAGGGAAATGCCGGAACCTTCATCCCGGTCCGATTAGCTTACTCCATTGGAGCGGAAAGGGCAAGCCATGGCTGAGATTGGATTCAAGAAGGCCTTGCAGCGTTGATCATTTGTGGGCTCCTTATGATCTTTATCGCACCCCAAGGAATTCTTTCGTGGAATGAATTTGTTTTTTCTTATATCCTTTGGTAACTTAGGGAAGAGGATAGGTATTATTTTAGGAAACAACAAGCAAATTACAAAAATTTAAAAACCCAAAAAAAAAATTAAAATAAATAAATAAATAAACAAACTTGTTTAAGAGCCCCAATGGTCATATTATCATTAGTCTAACAATCAAATCAAATATCGGTTTAATTTGTTATTATTGTATATACGTTTCTATCCAAACTATGTTATCTGTTCTTTGTTATACTCAAGATATATGATATTCTCTGCATTTTAATGTACAAACACTTTTGTCGAATCCATGATAATTTCCACAAAAAAAAATACTTGTAATAATTACTCAACCAAGATTTTTTCTTTTTTTTTTCCTTGCGTTGATATAGAAAGATTAATTAAAACTTAAAAATAAAATAAAACTCAACTACTACTCTCTCCTAAGGCACTATGAATGGCAGGAATTGAATAGCAACCATCATATCTGTAAAAGCCCAAAGAAGTTTGAGAAATGAAAGAACGATGATGATGATGATGATGATTTATGGGGCGCTTGTTTCGGAGGTGGTGTCTGCTTCGAGCGTTTGATCATCTGAGGAAGGCAGTGCGAGAAAGCGGCGTTTTTGGGCACGGGGAGGGAGATGCTTAACGTGCTTCCTGGATCGAACAGTCCACGGCAAGAACACGCCGGTGCCGCCACGAGGGACGATCTTTCTGGGGCTCAGAACCACCGGGTGAACCACCGGGTGAACCACCGGAGCCAACATCACCACGGGAGGAGGGCGGATGACGCTCCTGGGGATTATGTCCATTGGTCTGTAGTCTGGTGTTCCATTATATGGTGATGAGGGAATCCCAGGTTGCCATAGTGTCATGGCTCTGGTCAATGGGGGAACAACTTCTGCAGAATTGTTCTCCACACATGTCCTGATTTTGAAGAATGTTATGCTCACTCTTCTGTTGGGAGATGAGCACATTGCATGCCTTGCCATGTCAGCACTGTTTCCCCTCATCACTAAAAGCGACCTGCAAAATATACATACATTCATACACTGCGTTTCAACTAAAACTCGACTATATACGATCAAATTGATGATGCACAGGAAAGCTTTGAGGATAAGGAAATTGAAGCATGTGCTCCATCTCAACTAAAAGCCTAAGCTGATAGTTGGATTGCACATTAATGGCTATATGCTCAACTAAAAATCTAAGCTGATAGTTGGATTGCACATTAATGGCTATATGCTCAACAAAGGAAACTGACATACCCTTCCTTAAGAGAGAGTATGAGTGATCCTCTGTAGTTCCCATCACTGTCACATGCAAGAGTTCTGCCAAAAGCCATTGTTGATTCAGAGAGGAGAAGGGTAGAGACAGGCTGCTCCAAATGAGGTGGTTTCAGAAAAGGTTGTGAATATTCCCCCTACAAATGGCAGCAGATTTACTTCAGTTAGAACACTCATCAAATGCTGAAGTAGAAGAAGAGTACTGAGATTAATATATACCTCATCAAAGAAGTTGATGATACAGCCATTTGGTCTTCGGTTTTCTGAAATTAAATGCCACTGAATCAGGTGATCAATGACGACTTCGAGGATGGTTGGAATCGGCTCATTACTGCCTGAACATTGAAGTTAGTCCAGTTATGGTAAGGTGGAAACAGAAAAATACAATAGAGAATCAGAAAGAAGACAACATAGAATTTAGAAGTTTATTTTTTTGTTGCCCAAAGGTATCCCTCCAGCCGATAGTCAGAAGACTAATCCCCCGTCCCTATTGTCAGCACACTAAGTGGTAGGGAACTGGCCAAATGAGGTTGATGATCGAACCCCCAACCTCATGCTTAAGGGACGAGGTGCTGTACCATCGAATTTAGAAGTTGCTTACTCTTTTGACATGCAAGATCCTCTTTTACATTGCCGAAAATAGGGGTTCCAAGCTGAATCAACTCTCTCTTATTGCCCTTAATTTGCTGGTTGTACAAAATGAAAGTTTCACCTGAAAAGTAATGGCAGTGTCAGCTCGAATATCTACAGCGGAGCAGCAAAAGAGTTTTGAAGAGTAACCAAACTACATTGCAAAATGAAGTGAATAATAATAATAAGGTGGTGTTGATGACTGGATAAATCTCATAAAGTTGAGTTCAGGCCCTGAGAAAAATGTATGGCTGATATAAAGAATCGCGAAGAGAAATGAATGCCCAAACCTGCTGAATCAAAACTATAGATCCTGTCCTTTACTATCTCAATACTTGTGGCCCAAAAAGGAAACAACAACTAACTATAAAAACGTCACGAATCACAGGATCCACCTGAGAGTTCTCCATTTTGACCAGCGACTCTGAGTTCATTCACAAAGTCACTTAACTTAGAAAGTTCAATTGGAGTGAAAATGTCTTCATACAACTTTAGACCTCTAACAACATTCACCTACAATTCACAAAGAAGATTTTGTTAAGCATAGGCAAGCAATCTTAATGTATACAGATAAGTACATCTTATTGGTTAGAGTTTAAAGAATTCACTCACCATATGCCCTTTCACTGGCTCCCTACCCATGAACCCCTTCGTCATCTTGAACTGGGAACGGCGTTCCTCACAGTTTTCATGGCTAGAACAGAACTCAAAGTGCTCCGAGATAGGTTGCACATCTTGAGATCCTGATTTGCAATAGCAAAAGAGAGCAATGTATAGGTATATTTACTACTGAACAGCCAAAAAAAAAAAAAGTAATTAACTAATTATCGAAGATCCATGTATTAGTTTTAAAGATGACATTTTTTATTTGCCATTTTACTTTTAATTCCATCCAATCAATGTAGATCACATGGCGAGTGAGAGTAATACTTATCGAGGACTCATAACATTTTTCAATATTTAATAACACAGCATTAAGGATATTGGTCTGTTTGGCAGAGCTTATAACTTATTTTAAGTTACTTAAATTTGTTGTTTATTTATATATTCTTTTGACCTACTCTACATACAGTGCTGCCCAATATACATATTGGATAAACAGAAAAAGCAGCATAGGCCAGGCAAACTGCACTGTGGGGGTAAAGAGCACTACCGCACTAAGTGCAATATGTACCATTTGCACCCTCCCTTGTCCAAGTCCCAAAGATTTTGGTACAGTAGCATACTGTACACAACGATTTCAGGACAAAATGCATTGAACTATTGAATCAGCTCAAATGAATGGAAACATAGTTTAAAAATTCTACATTATCATGATTATTTATGTTGACTCTCTTTTATTTTTATAATTTTATTACATAAACAACATTCAGTATTCCTACTAACTGTGTTAAGACTAATACAAATTCGGTTCGAATCATGCTCATAGAGTGAGTGTAGTAAAAGTAAAACTAAGACTCGAATCATATTTGAAGAGGTTAATAGTAACATGTTTATAAATAAATCATTATATTGTGTAGTCAACATTCACCGGATCAATTAACATCCAGATGGACACTTTATACCTGCAACCCAGTTAACGAGGCTAATAAAGTGAGTTGACCCAGTGAGTTATTAAGACAACAATAACTAACTTGTAAGAAGACATTTAAAGCCTGGTCCAGAACTCCAGATGACACCCAGAAAGCGCAGGCGTGACGTAAAAGACAATAGGCCAAAACCAAAGGCCGTCGTTGTACACTATTCAGTAATCCGATTCAGTAGAACAGAAAGAGTCCAATACTTTAATGGCCGGACTGCTCGCCCACCTCAAGGGGTTCTCAGCAGACTAGCAGTACACATCACTACCATGGACCAATGTCCACATCGACGTATAAATTGTGTATTTTTAATATTAGAATTGTGAACTTATATAGAATATAAATTGTGTTTCTAAGTCAAATACGCATAACAAGTGTAGAAAAAAATTTGTGAATCCTATTTTGTGACGGTAGTATTTGAAAGAAACTTGTGAATACAGAACAATGTAATCAATTACATATATATTAATATATTGTGTGTTCATAACATACTAATGGTAAATTTTTAAAAAATAAATTATGAACATTTAATATATAAATTGTGAACATTTAGACCAGAATAAATAATTTGTCTACACGTCACCTAACAAACTACCCAGCTTCCTTCTGCCTCGATTTTCTCAACCCTTTTACTATCCTTTTTAGGTTCGGGAAAAATGAAAAAGTATCCATCACCATTAATCATCATTTAATCTCACCAGTTTTAGATCAAAGTAATCCCAAATCCCAATTCCTAAAATCCACTTAAAATGAAACACTGTTGATTATTATTACTATCAAAAAATTTATGATACTGATCAAATATATCAGATACCATTATCACTATACAAAACTCTTAATAATGAATCTTATTTTAAAATCTTACGAAGTTGTTTTCTGTCACTTTTTATATTGATAAAAAATTTTACTGTATAATTTTATTTAATTGTGTTACATGTTTGACATTTTATATTTATAAATAATAATTTGTAAAGTGATTGATAGGACTATATGAGTAATAATAAATAATTAGATGGAATATTGGTTTATTAGTATCATTTGAGATGTTTAAAAAACATAGTTAAATTACTGTAGAAAACATTACTAAATGAAAAGTTATTTTTTAAATAATAAATGAAAAGTGGAAGTGTAAATATATGAGTACTTACCTGAATCGGTGATCTCACTTTCAGGAGAACCATGTGAATCGTCCCTGATCGAATCTTCGTAAACAACCTCACCTCCACCATTTTCGCTGTTGTCAACAGGCTCCTCCCGGGAAGCATGGGAAATCTTAACGTTCATTACGGCGGCGGCGCTATGTTTCGCATCCGCCATGGCCGAGGCGGCGGCGGCAGCCTCGCGGTCCTCGGCTTTTTTGGCAGAAACTTTGCGGAGCTCGAGCGCGACATCGGCAATGGTGTAGTACTTCTGCATCTGGAGAATCGGGATCCAATTAAGCCTCCGGCGGTGGATGGCGGCGAACACGGATTCGTACTCCGATCCCCCTCCGCCTTCCAGCTGCGTCAAGTGGTTGCAGAGCGCGTCGATGACGGCGTTGGCCGCCGCGAACTCCCCCCTGAACCACGCAATCACGGCGTCCTTGGCGAAGGAATCGGACACCATCGCCGGAGGCGTCTGCACCACCGTCGGCATCACATTCGGCACCAACGGCACCCGGTTCGACTGCGCTACAGCGCCAGCTGCCGGCGGCATCTTCAACCAAAACAAAACTCTCTGTCACACAATTATGGATGAATTCTCAGCTCCCCTTTTCTGTTCCGTTTGAATGCTCTGAATCTGTGCGTCTTGTTACGCAACGGCCAATATTTCGGCAAATTTCAGTGTTTTTAGA